AACCCGATGCTTCAATTTTCCAAACCACCGACACCTCAGGGGAGGGAGGGTCGGAGGTCTTCGGGGCACTTTCGAGGAGGGAGGTCTTACAATCCTAAACCCTAGGCCCTAACACCCTCAAAACCATGCCCCAAACCCTCACACCCTTTAACCACTCTGTAAAAACCCTAAACCCTAAACCCTAAACCCTAAACCCTAAACCCTAAACCCTAAACCCTTAAATCGATTTCCCTGCAAGCATGCCCACCGAGGTTCGGTTCGGAAGGGGGTGGGAAGTTTCAGGGTTTAGGGTTGGAATGTTCCCTCTTATACTAGCAGCTCCTTAAAAGAGATTGTAGTATCCCCTTGCACTAGCAGTCCTTAATCGGGATTATCGTTCCCCTTTACACTAAGAGTCCTTAATAGGGACTATAGTACCCTCCCTATTATAATCCCTATTAGTTTAAGGGGGAACATCACAAGTTTAGGGTTCTGTTTGGAGTTGTAGGGTTTGGGGTTCAGGGGGTGGCTTTTGGGGTTCTAAGGGTTGTAGGGTTTAGTGTCTTCATATTTGCTTTTCTTTTTTAAATTATGGTTTTTTTCGGGGTTTGGTGTTCAGGGACTGCTGGCTTTCGGGACTGTTTCAGGCTTTTGAGGCTTGGGATGAGGGGCACCGGGTGCTCTACACGCCTGAGGGCCCCACATAACCCTTGCAAAGCACCACAAGCCCTAATTCCCCCAAAGCTTCTCAAAGCACTTAAAACCCCCCTAAACCCTAAACCCTAAACCCTAAACCCTAAACCCTAAACCCTAAACCCTAAACCCGAAACCCTAAACCCTAAACCCTAAACCCCAAAGCCCCAAAACAACAAAACGGCAAAACCCCCCAAGCCCCCGAATCGCTGTAGCCGCTCCCTGAACCTGAAGCCCCGAACCCCCCTCCAGCCTTACTGGGTTTTGGCGTGCTCTACGTTAAGTCTTTTTTGGTTCTGGGTTCCGATTATCGCTACTTATACCGAAAAAGGTATATATATATATATTTATATTTATATGTTTCCACTGTCTACTCCAAAGTGGGGCTTAAATCCACAAACCCTGAACCTAGATCTTCTAACCGCCCGAACACCTGCCTACACTGTAAGCCCTAAACCCCTTAAGCCCCTCAAGCCCCCTAAGGCCCTAAGCCCCTAAGCCCCCAAACCCTAAGCCCTAAACCTTAAACCCCTAAGCCCCCAAACCCTAAACCCTAAACCTTAAAGCCCTAAGCCCCCAAACCCTCAAACCCTAAGCCTTAAAACCCTAAACCTTCAGGAACGTGAACCTTAAACACCCCAAGCCCTTAAAAAAGCCTAAGTCCTAAACCCTAAAAGAAACCTAAACCCTAAACCTTAAACACGCCTAAACCCTACACCTTAAAAAACCTGAACCCTAAACCCTAAACCCCAAACCCTAAACCCCAAACCCCAAACCCTAAACCCTAAACCCTAAACCCTAAACTCGCAGACCCGAGGACCAGCCATGGTACCCCCGCTCCTGGTCGAGGTGCAGGAGCTCATCAGCCAAGGCGGTGGGTTTAGGGTTTAGGGTTTAGGGTTTAGGGTTTAGGGTTTAGGGTTTAGGGTTTAGGGCTTAGGGTTTAGGGCTTCGGGCTTAGGGTTTAGGGGAGGGGGGTGGGGGGTGGCCTCAAACCCTAAACCCTGAACCCTAAACCCTAAACGCTCAACCCTAAACCCTAAACCCTAACCCCAAGCCCTAAACCCTAAACCCCAAACCATTCGCCCACCCATAACCCACCAGAAGTCACCCACCAAATTTCTGGTTTAGGGGTTGCTTCGGCCACCAAAAACACCCCACCCACCGAGCAGGCCACCTACCAACATTGCCCACGGTCTTGAAGTTTTTTTTCTGGCAAGTTTAGGTCTCCTACGGCTTTTGTTTGTATTAGTTTTGTTTATATATATATATATATATTTTTTTTTTTTTTTTTTTTTAAGGGCTTTTGGTGTCTTTGTGGTTTTCTCTTCTTGTTTGGGCTGTTGAGGTTTTAGGTGTTTTGGGGTTGTTTGGTCTTTTAGGGCCTTTTAGGGTTTTTTCAGCTTTCAGGGCTTTCGTGTTTGTTTTTTTTTTTGTGGGCTTCTAAGTTTTTCAGAGTTTTCGGGGTGTACAGTTTTTGGGGGCAATTACCGTTGTTATTGTTTTTATTATAGGGTTCTTAAGGGGGGGGTGTTCATGGGGGGTAGGTACCTAGGAAACCCTAAACCCTAAACCCTAAACCCTAAACCCTAAACCCTAAACCCTAAACCCTAAACCCTAAACCCTAAACCCTAAACCCTAAACCCCCTAAACCCTAAACCCTAAACCCTAAACCCTAAACCCTAAACCCTAAACCCTAAACCCTAGGGAGCCTGAGGGAGTAGTGTGGGGAGTATTAGGGAACCTTGGCCTACATACCCCCCTTGAACCCCCCTCCCTTAAGAACCCTATAAGCTAGGGATTCAGAATAGAATCCCTCCCCCTCCCCCCCCCTGCCCCCCCCCTGCCCCCCCCCTGCCCCCCTATTTTTAAATACTCCCATGATCGTATAGTGATATTATAGTATATGGGGGTGGTAGTTAATATTAGGGGGTAGTCACTGGGTAGTCCCTTTCCGAAGGGAGTTAGGGCGCGTACGGTTTGGGTTGTGTTTAAAGGGATTCGGGCTTGGGGGGCATGGTCGGTGTTGATCCCACCTCAGACATGCCCTCAATAACCCTAAACCCTAAACCCTAAACCCTAAACCCTAAACCCTAAACCCTAAACCCTAAACCCTAAACCCTAAACCCGAAACCCTAAACCCTAAACCCTAAACCCTAAACCCTAAACCGTGATGTTGTCACGCTCAGCGAAGCCTTTGCCTAGACAGATTCCCGGGTGCAAGCACTGGTGCCAGAGGTGCCAGGTTTAGGGTTTAGGGTTTAGGGTTTAGGGTTTAGGGTTTAGGGTTTAGGGCCAAGGGTTTAGGGTTTAGGGTTTAGGTTTGGCCGTCGAACTCCAGTTTGCCGTGGTGGGAGGAGATGTTCGTTTGCTGCTCCGTCACCAAGCCAATTCACCCAGCGCAGATCGACCTCGACATCACAGAAGACCCATCGAAAATCAGAGAGGCTATGATGGCCATGGACAGAGACAGGGCGCAAACGTTCCTTGAAACAGTGGGTTTCAGTGGCTTCCGCAGATTTCTCAGTCACAGATGTGTGATGCGTTCATGGCCAACCTCCATAATGTCAAGGGAAGTGTCTTGTTCGGCAACGTCCACATGCACAGAGGGATGCCGGAAATCAGCAGTGATACCAGCAGTGCTCTGAAAGGTGTTTTTCACGACGAGGTGCTTACCCTTGTTTTGTAACCCACGGTAGTAGTAGTAGTAGTAGTAGTAGTAGTAGTAGTAGTAGTAGTAGTAGTAGTAGTAGTAGTAGTAGTAGTAGTAGTAGTAGTAGTAGTAGTAGTAGTAGTAGTAGTAGTAGTAGTAGTAATAAACCCTAAAGCCCAAAAAGGCCTGTGAAAACCCTACACCCGAAACCCCCAAACCTTACACCTTAACCGCCGAAAACTTGAGGCTCGAAGCCTCACCCCCAAAGCAACACCCTAAACCCTCCTAATCCCTCCTAATCCCTCCTAAACCCTCCTAAACCCTCCGAAACCCTCCGAATCTAAACCCTCCGACACCCATCTAGATTTTCCGAAGCCCTCCTAAACCCTCCAAATAAACCCCTAAACCGAGGGGCTTTAGCTCCCGAGGCTATGCTCAAGAGTTGCTTCTAGGGTTCTTAAGGGAGGGGTGGTTCATGGGGGCTACCCGCCAACCGGAAGAGGGACGTCATTTGGGTTCAGGGTTTAGGGTTTAATGTTGGACCCTGTTTGGTAGGGGCCTCCTCTATAAAGCCAATTTGGCTGTGCTATTCAGGACACCCTGACTGTCTGGGGGTTCCTGTTTAAAGTCAAATCGCCCGGGCGCCGCAAGAAAATTCCACGTGGCGCGCCTTTGAAAAAGAGTGCCGGGCATCGCTGCCTTTTAAACTTATCTAAACTCCTCCCCATGAAAATCATATAAAAAGGGGCCGTCTAAACAGAGCAAAATCCAGCCTCGACGGTTCAGGGGGGGGGGCCCACCACTAAACAGGGTTCAGCATTAGGGTTTAGGGACTGATGGCAGCTAAGCACATGCTGGAGCCGGTCTTTCGCACGTTTGAGAATGAAGAGCAAGCTGCCACGGAACTCAATCGCTTCCAAGTTCGCATGGCAGTGATATCAGCTTTGTAATGCCCCTTGTAGTTTGTGGCAGACGCGACTGGAATAGACATTGCTGCTCTACACGATGCCATACCCCACTAGCTGTACATTGCAGCTGAGTGCAGCTGGCGACGTATACTTCCTCTCAACTTTCGTTTCGTATAGCACTGTATGGGCTATGGTATCATCACATCCACAGTCTCTGCGTGCGTGACAGGTGCAGTACTCGAGTCTAAAGTGTTCAGCTTTACCAGCGCTTCCCACACTCAGCACTTTCCTTCAGCTTCGCATCCCGTCTTTGTTGGTTGATGGGTTCTTGCTCATACGACAAAGTGAGTAGACCCCCTGAGTCTGGAAGCCCTGGAAGACAATGTGCTATCTCTCCAAAAGGGTTCTGGGTCAGGGTATGTAAAGGGTTCTTAGCGCCGTGGTTATGGCAAGTGCATCGATGCAGAGTCTGAGTTTAAACAACGGATCTCGCACCAGCTCTGCCAAACCGAACCTATACCCAGACTAGCTACCCGGTACTTAACACGGGTAGGCTAAGGCATGCGTTGCATGAGTTGCGTGAGTTGTGTGAGTGATCCACAGCCGAAAGCAGCCATTCTGTGTTCGTGCAGCATAGCCTTTCAGGAGTTCTCTCTCCGCTGGTCTCGCCCATGGCCGCCCCCGGATCTCAGAGTCGCCACACCGGCTCAACAACGAGGATCATCAATGATGTGAGGGCTGCCGTTGAGGTGCAGCTGGACGAAGACATGTGGGAGGTCGTCTACCCGGGCCGCAGCCTCCAAGTCTCCAATGATTTTGCCGTGCTCCGTTTGCGCGAGGCTCCGGAAGTGGAGGTTGCAGCGGCCACGGGGGAGGAGCTGAGGCTGAGGGTCTCCGAAGACTTCAGGGCCCTCAGCGTGGAGGCCAAGGCGAGGGACGCAAAGGAGGCCCAGGGCGCCGCACGCGAGGCCGCGCGCCGGAAGGCCAACGAGGAGCGCCGCGAGGCCGCGGCCAGGGCCGAGGCCCGAGCCCTGAGAAACGCAAAGGGAAAAAGGCTAGCATGCCAGGTGCTTCTCGTTCTCGCCATCTTCTTGGGCAGCGTCATCGGAATCGCCTGCGTGAAACCGGCCAGCGGCCTCGCCGCCGGGCTCCTGGCCGGCGGCGCCCTCTGCTGCTGCTGCGGCGTCAGCCTCTTTGGAGTCGTCAGAGGCAGCGCCGACGAGAGTTATGAGATGAGATTCGGCGCTTGGGCTGGGTGCGTCGGGCGCCTCACGCTCCTGGCCGTGGGTATGGGCTTCGTGGCCTTGGTGGGGATGACGGTCCAGCACTCTCAGCTCGGCTACTGGTGGAGCTCGCTCATCGTCTGGCCGATCTCCTGCTGCTGGGGCGGGTTCACGCTCTTGACTCGGTGCTTTGGTGCGGGGTTTTTACTGGACGACGACCAGCTCACAACCCTTGACGAGGAACGGGCGGAAGCTGAGAAGGAGGTGCTGAACCGCAGCATCGTCTTCAAAGGCGAAGTCTCCAGGGAGCCCGGCCGGGAGTGCGTCGCCTCATGGCCGGGGAAGTATGAGTCAGCGTGGGACTCCTTGGTGGCCAGCGCCCGCGAGGGCGAAGTGAGTGCCGCCGTCGTCTTCCTGCCGGACGGCACGTCGGACTTTGGCCGCCACGACCAGATCCCACCGCAAGAATGCTTGAAGGGAGAATGCTGGTGTGTACCTCTCTATGGTGAAGAGAAGGACTGGGGGTGCCGCTGGTGGACACACTGGATTGCCCCTTGGTGCTGGGTGAACCAGCATGGATCTTTATTGTCAGCTTACGCTATCCCCAAACCTTTGCTCTGTGGTGCTTGCATTCGGGGCGTGGGGGGTCGGACAAAACGGTTAACGGCCTGAGGCCTGAGGGCTCCGGGACTTCAAGTTTCGAGTATTTGTTGGCTGGTAGCTTGCTCACTTTTTTTGTGTGTCGAGAACGAAGAACACCTTGGAAGTATACAATTGTTTGCCTTATGAAGCCATCTCCTGGTCTAAACCTTTCAAAAATCTGTATGCCTTTATTCACTTACAAGCCTCATGCTCTACAAACCGGTCGTTCAAAATCATCCGATTAAACCAATGAAGTCCGCTCCTATACGCAGAGTTTCACGACACCCTGCCTTCGCAAGTGCACAACTTAATTCTGAGACCATCCTCAGCGAACCAACTACGATCGTGGGGGTAGGGCAAGGTTTATGGCCCGAGGCCTCGGGGTTCAGGGACTTCACGGGTTCTTCTTTCATGCACAATTGTGTATCCACAACCTCTTGAAGTATACACTAGACAGCCCCATACCCAACGGAAGCTTGTGTTGCGCCCTATCACGCCATCTCCTCATCTAAGCCCTTGAAACAGTGTATGCCTTCCTGAAGTACCACTTAAACCCCTGGAATCTTCTTGTACCCCACATCGCACTGTATCGGCCCCGAATTAAACAACCAATATAAACCCTTCGATCTAGCCGCGCTAATGAGCTGCACAACCCATCACCTTAAAACCCCCTAAATCAGTCATGTTTATACCCTGTACAACATCCTACCAATCATTTACAGTCTCCCGACTAAACCAATGACGCCCAAACCTATACAATGAGTTTCAAAACCCGTTGCCTTCACGAATTGCGATATCATCTTCGGCAAACCAACTACGACTTTGTACAAGCACACAAAGCCCCAAGCCATCTTGCTCTCCGACTGACCTGCGTGTCCTCCTCTTTCTTGACATGAGCGGTTTAGTGTCTTTAACTCTTGTTTTTTCGAATATGTGCATTGATACAGGGTAGATACCGGTATGTGTATGTGCACTATATACATATAAAGATTTACATACACGTAGCTTTGTGGAAGCCATTGGGTTTCCCTGTTTTCATCGGTGGAACTGAGGAGAACGTGGAGGCGGCTGTGAAGAACAATGCTGAGCTGCAGGTGTTTTTCTTCGAAGGTCTCACAGGGCGTGGCAAAGTCCCCAGCTTTGACGCAGCCGGCGCTGAGCATCTCCGAAGGGAGGAAGTCAACAGCCAGCGCAAAGACTTCATGAAGTCTCGGGAGTTCAAAAAGGCCGTGGACCGTGGCCTCAATGAGCTTTCCAAGGAGCCTCGTTGGGACAGCTCGTCCCCCTACTCACGCGAAGTGCATCGGCTTTTCCTGGCATGGCTCCCCAAGGAAAAACGTGAATTCCTGCAAGCATCGGAGGGTCTCGGCAACTCCCAGAAAGCGGAAGTAGCGTGGCTGGAACGGAAAGGATACCGCTACACTGAAGTTGATGTTTCAACTTGGTTGCATGCAGATGATGTGTCGATTGCCGTCGCAAGGTCGGCGGAGCCAACGCACCCAGAAGCCTGTCTACTGGCAGCAAGCAGAAAGATAAGCCTTTAACTTTCGCGTCACATGTCCTCTAGACATCCTTGCAAGCATGGGTTTCTCGGATTTCGGACAACATTATTGACAAAGGTACAGCCCGAAATGAAAATGACACGGAGAACAGCGTGGGGATGCCAAGAGGTGTTGATATTGGCTGCCTTTTGTGGAGCAAAGGTGCTTTTCTTATCGGATGTACAGGTCGACAGTTTGTGCAAGAGTAGGTAGGCAGGAGGGTACTGGCGAGGTATGTGCAAAATAGCTACATATAAATAAGTATATACATATATATACCATAGCCATTAGCATTCATTGTTCCAAAGGTTAGGGTTTCCTATCCCTAGACCCTAAACCCTTATGGCTTCATCATCAGAGCTTGGCCTGACATCTGAGAAAGTTTGTCGACGGGTGCTTAGGCCAAGAGGGCCAAGCGCAAGACCCCTAACCTGCGGAATGGCGCCGCAAATTGCAGAAGTGCAAGATCTCTACAGATTTGTGTGAATACAGAGCAGCATACTACTGTCAGTGTAGAGCACAGAAGTACTACTGCGTAGCTGTTTTTCGTGCACTGGAAGGTGCGCGGCACCATCACCTGTAAGAGTCGCGCCGCAAAAACCTTTCGTGCAGGTGCAGACTTGAGTTTGGAGCCTTTGGCTGTTCCGTGTCTCACCCAGAAGCGTGCTGAATCTGTCTCTCAGCAAGTATGCGCTATAGTGTATAGTAACCTACTTGTATTGTGCTACAATTTTGTAGCTGCATACATACAGCAGTCATAGTAAAGTCGTGGGGCAGCCATGTTGCCTTTGCAACAACCGACAGGACAACAAACTCTCCCAAACACCTCTGGAGTTCTGGAACCTGGAGACAGGTGCCTCTAAGCCCCAAGCCTAAAATGATCCTAAACGCTTTAAACTTCAAACCCCAAAGCTTACATACACCCCAAGTCACGGCGTCCAGGATGTAGGGTTTGGGTCTCAGGGGTCATGTCAGGCCCAAAGCCAATAAGCCTTAATGAAACTACACGGTGTCGTCTACGATGTTATACTGCAGTAGCTTCTCGGAGATTAGAGCATAGTACACACAGTCTACTGTAAGTAAACATTTTTCACGCTATAACATCTAAAAGAACATGTCTCATGCCGTGCAATGTATGCCGCAACGAAGGGCTTTGAACTTGAACCCGGAACCCTCATGTATTGCAGGCCCAGTGCAACATCCTTTTACAAGAAATAAAGGTAAGAAGGAGAGCACTCTTGTATAGTCTAGAGTAGGCCATGCTTGTCTTTGAGTTTGCTTTATGTAGTTACGTATAGTAGGCATGGTCGCCTCTAGGCTACCAGACCATACCATGCCATACTATGGCCCGGTATGGGTTCAACGGTTTGGAAAGGCCCTGCAGCGCTTCAAGGGCATGCGTGCCAAACTTTGAGCTACTTGAATTGTGAACCTGTGGGCTGCGGCAATGTCATACAGAAGCTGTTTAGAGCTTAGGGCTCCTGCGCTAGGAGAGCTTACTTCTATAGTGTTGCATCAGTTTACCGTTCTGTATTCCTGAACCCAAGCATTGTTGCGACTACTTTTGTTCTTGCTGGTACGTTTGCTTCACGATGGTTTTGGCTTTTAGACAAGCCGCAAAACCCCGGAGCCCTCAACCCCTAAAACCCTGAACTGCAGACTCCAAACCCGAACTCTGAGCCCGAAACCCTGAAGCCTAAAACCCAACACTCCAAACCCTTAGCACCTGACACCCAAAACCCCAAAAACCCAAGACCCTACACCATGAAACCCGAACACCCCATGCCCCAAAACCCGAACCCCCTTTCCCCCCGCAAAAAATCCCCGTTATTAAGCCCTTAAACCCTAAATCCCCTTAAACCGTAACCCTAAACCCTAAACCCTAAGTCCTAAACCCTACACCCTAAACCCTAAGACCCTAAACCCTAAGACCCTAGACCCTAAACCCTACAAACACTAAACCCTAAACCCTAAACCCTAAACCCTAAACACAATAATACACAGCTAAACTCTAAACCCTAAACCCTAAACCCTAAACTCTGAGACCCTAAAACCCTAAAACCCCAAGCCCTAAGACCCTACGACCCCAAGACCCTAAGACCCTAAGACCCTAAGACCCTAAACCCTAAACCCTAGTCCCTAAACCCTAAACCCTAAACCCTAAACCCTAAACCCTCAACCCTAAACCCTAAACTCACGTCCGCGCGGACGCACGCAGGCGAGGCCTCACTGGCCCAGAAGCGGCTGCCTGAGATGGACCTGGCAACCCTGGACCGCCATAGGGTTTCGGGTTTGGGTTTAGGGTTTGGGGTTTAGGGTTTAGGGTTTAGGGCTTGGGGTTTAGGGCTTAGGGTCTGGGGGTTTGGGGTTTAGGGTTTGGGGTTTAGGGTCTGGGGTTTGGGTTTAGGGTTTGGGGTTTGGGGTTTTTAGAAATTGTATAGGGGTTGTGTCCGGAGTTTTGTAGTTTTTTTTTTACGTTTAACCTTTTCCAACTTAGTTTTTTTTTTGGGAGGGGTTCGGCGGGTTTGGGAGGGTTTTGGGGGGGTTTCGGGTTGTTTTTCGTTTTTTTGGTGAGGGGGGGAGGGGTTCGGAATTTTTTTTATTCATGATGTTTTGTGGTTCCTGAAAGCCATGCTTTTGTCTGATTTGTTCCACGGTAGAGGATGAAGGATTATTGTACGGGCTGCTCGGAATGAATCGCGTACATTTTCAGTTTATCCTGGCCCTGAGGGTTTAGGGTTTGGGGTTTAGGGTTTGGGGTTTGGGGTTTAGGGTTTAGGGTTTGGGTTTGGGGTTTAGGGGTTTAGGGTTTGGGGTTTAGGGTTTAGGGGTTCAGGGTTGGGTTTAGGGTTTAGGGTTTCAGGTCTGGGGTTTGGGGTTTGGGGTTTAGGGTCTAGGGTTTGGGCTTTCCTGTTTGGGGTTCGGGGGTTCGGGGTTTAGGGTTTGGGATTTGGGGTTCACTGTTTGGGGTTGAAGAGTTCGGGGTTTAGGGTTTGGGGTTTAGGGTTTGGGGTTTTGGGTCTAATTAGGGTTTGGGGTTGAGCGTGTAGGGGCTTGGGGCTTAGAGGAAAAGAGCTGCTGCCCTCGCGCAATGTTGGGCTCCAGGGTTTTGAGATATTCTCTTCCTTGTTTCGCACCCTAAGCCCTCGGCCCTAGACCGATTTGGGGCTTGCAGAGAGTATGCAGCGCAGGCCGAGGGCTTTGGGGTTTAGTCTGATGGGTACAGATACCCTAAACCCTAAACCCCCCCAAACCCCAAACCCTAACTCTAGAACCCTATCAGACCCCTTCTAGTCTTCTAGAAGCTTTTAACCCTAAACCCTAAACCCTAAACCCTAAACCCTAAACCCTAAACCCTAAACCCTAAACCCTAAACCCTAAACCTTAAACTCAGGGCCTAGGCCGCCCCCCTACATTGGGGGCGGCGCTTAAGCCCTTTGACCTCGATGGCACAAGCCGACCCAGGTCGCTCGCCCGCCTTCCACAGCATGGGGGTCAGTAGCGCCCACGATGGGCCCGGTACTGGAACACGTTCTCCTCGGGACCAGTACTGGTCCCTTATAATACAGTAAATCCCCTATCTGGCACAGAAGGTGGCTGGCATTCTCGGGAGGGTACCCCCACAGCCCCCCCCCCCCCCCCCCTGACCCCGGCCCCCCTGACCCCCCTGCCCCCTGGCCGCCGCTCCGGTGGTCGTGCCTGGCCGAGCCCGCCCCTCTGAAACTGCCTAAGTTTTTAGAAGTGGGCTGTTGTCTGAGTTTAGGCCTAAACCCTAAAAGGACTAGGTTTGGGTGGCTTTGCCGCCTTGGACGGCGTGGGGTGGGAGAAAAGTGTTAGATGGCCCTCCACAATCGGGCCAATGCTGCTTTTCGCACCTCACGAAGCTTTCGAGCTTGTTCCGAAACCTAACCTTCACAGCATCTACGCCCTATCACAGCAAACCCTAAACCCTAAACCCTAAACCCTAAACCCTAAACCCTAAACCCTAAACCCTAAACCCTAAACCCTAAACCCTAAACCCCTAAACCCCTAAACCCCTACACCCCAAACCCCAAACCCCAAACCTAAACGCCAAACCCCAAACGCTAAACCCTAAAGTATTCAAAGGGGGCTGCGGCGGAGGGCTAAAGTGGCGTGTTTTCTTGGGAGCCTTGTCTGCTTCGCGACTCCACGGCCCGAAGCTCAAACAAAACGAACAACACTAGAAGTCGCAAGAGCAAAGCTATTAAAGCAATCAACTTAAAAGAAACAGTCAGAGAAGAAGAAGAAGCAGAAGAAGAAGGAGAAGAAGAAGAATAACAAGACGCGGTGGCAAACAAACGCCGTCTGACAATTTCGGTTCGCCGCACATGATTCTTGCCCTAACCCCTAAACCCTAGACCCTAAACCCTAAATCTAACGGGCTGTCGCCCACAGCCGGGCACGCCCACCAGCAGCAGGACAACGGCAGCAAGCACAGCAGCAGCAACAACAACAACAACAACAACAACAACAACAACAACAACAACAACAACGCAAACACCGTGGAGGTGTTCATGTTCAGAAACACCGTGGAGGTGCATGGCCACACTGTGGAAGTGTGCATGTACAGTTTTCACGTTCGCAAACACCGTGGAGGTGTTCATGTTCAGAAACACCGTGGAGGTGCATGGCCACACTGTGGAAGTGTGCATGTACAGTTTTCACGTTCGCAAACACCGTGGAGGTGTTCATGTTCAGAAACACCGTGGAGGTGCATGGCCACACTGTGGAAGTGTGCATGTACAGTTTGCACGTTCGCAAACACCGTGGAGGTGTTCATGTTCAGAAACACCGTGGAGGTGCATGGCCACACTGTGGAAGTGTGTTCGCAAACACCGTGGAGGTGTTCATGTGCATGATCGTCAGCACCTTACTCAGCCAATAGTTGAACATTAGACGCGCGGGCGCGCGCGCGCGCGCGCGCGTGTGCGCGCATGTCGAGTGCCATGTTATGGAGTTATGCCAGCATCCTTCGAAATCCT